AGCGCAAATAGCCCGAGTTCGACTGCTATGAGTGCAAGGAGCCCGAACTTGGTCACCATGACCACAGGGAGCCTGAGCTTGGCAACCATGAGCACAAGGAGCCCGAGCTCGATCGCCATGAGCACAAGGAGCCTGAGTTTGGCTAGCACGAGCACAAGGAGCCTGAGCTCGATCGCTATGAACACAAGGAGCCCAAGCTCGACCTCCACGAACACAAGGAGCCCAAGCTTAACTGCTATGGGCACAAGAGTTGGATTAGTAGCAAGTTCCGAGCTCAATGAAATGACATCATGCGCAGACAACGCAGCACTCTAGGGTCCTCGTAGGCGAGAGAGGCCCCGACCTCAATCCGTGTGGACCACAAAGTCAAGAGAAATTATCAAGGAGGCGAGAATCAACCAAGACCCTGAGGCCTGTGGTGGACCATGATGCGCGAGGTCGAAGTGAGTACCATGGCCAACCTCAAGGCACGGAGCCGAGTTGAGCACCACGATCGACCTTGAGGGTCGGTCAAGGAGGAAAACCAAGAGCTTAGTGTATGGGCCCTTCGATTTATGCTTATGAGAAGCACCATGTGAGTAGTAGATGAGCTTTTTCGAAGGGCCTTGGGGGTGACCAAGAGATATTTAAGTTAACCACAATATGAACAAGAAAAGCACGAGCAAAACAAGAGGGGAAAATGTAAGGCCCCGACTTGGGGGCTAATTTGCCTTGGCAACACCCTAGGTCGCGCCAGGTAACTGGCCGAACTCATTATGGGCTCACGCATAATTTCAAATGGGTGACCTAAGAAAATATGATGGAGCCAACGACCAAAAAGGCAAATGATAGACCAATTCCAAAGCCCCATGCTTAGAAACCAATCACCCTCGACAAGGCCTAAATTAGACCCAGCCAAGAACTCAACCGACCTCATAGGGGCCAAGATAGACCCCGAGGTCGGTCGCTGAGGACAAGCAAAATGTATCAAGCAAGCAAACTCCTAAAGGGGACATTAGCAAGGCAATGAGGCCCTCAAGCCGATCATCAACGAGGCAAAAAAAAGCAATGAACATGAACAAGCAGGTGGATCCAAGAAGCCAAGAGGAGGTAGATGAGGGAAGCAACTGATCAAATGAAGGAGAATGATTCCAAGCGCAATAGAGTTCCCCTAAATTTCGACCAAGAAGTTTTTCTAAATTTCAGTGTGAGACAAAGACTCAGAATATGTGATTATTTTAAGGAGATCGGGTAGGGACGCGGCTCAAAGCTACTTTCCTTCGTTGACGACGACTCGCAACTTAGAGAATGTGGTACAAATGATGGATATATTAGAAATGGACCCGGGGCAAACCGATCCTAGGAGGATGACAAGAGCGACTCGTGTTAAGCCCATAGTTGTCTCCAGGATTGGCCTCGACCTCGAATTTGGGGGTCTAGTGCGCCAAGGCCGACCTTAGCCTCGACATTGGGTGCTCAATGCGATTAAGTTTGGCCTCAGCCTCAAACGCCCAATGCGACAAAGGTTGGCCTCGGCCTTGGCCAGGTGATGCAGTCAAACCATAACTACCCGCTCTGTTTGTGTGGAGGCGATTACGGGGGCATCCCTAGTATATATTTTCATTGTATCATCTTGTCTTAACATCACAATTACACTTGTAATCTCATTACACAAGTCCTAATTCAAAACTTTCTTTCCTATTCAACACTTGTCTTTATTATTTATTTCTTTAATTATTTGTTTGATTAGTTTAGGCCACTCGGGTTCACATTCAATACGATATATTTTAATGACTTTTGTAGACTTATGAAAATAAAAAATCCATAAATTTAATAAAAGTGTGACTTTATATAAACTTTTTATATATAGACTCTTACGAAGTTCAAAAAAGTTTAGATAAATTCGATAAAAGTCACTAAAGACTGAATACACCATGAATATGGCCTTCTTGGAAGGAGAGTACCCAAGTTCGGCTCCTTGGAGGGCTCGACTCACGTAGTAGACAGGGCGTTGCGTGCCCGCGTTGTCCCGGACTAGCACGAAGCTGATCACGGCTTGTGATATGCCCAAGTATAGATATAGCACTTCCCCTTTCTCGGGCTTGGCTAGCGGGGGCAGCGACATTAGGTAGGCCTTGAGGTCCTCGAAGGCCTTTTGGCACTCTAGGGACCACTCGAACCCAGTGCTTCTCTTGAGGAACCCGAAGAAGGGCAAGGACCTCTCAGCCGACCTCGAGAGGAACTGGCCAAGGGCTGCTAGCCTACCGTTAAGGCGTTGGACCTCCCGTAGGGACCTCGGAGGCTCCATGTCCAGGATGGCCTTGACCTTATCAGGCCGGGTTAGGCTCGATACCCCTCCTTGAGACCATGTAGCTCAAGAACTTCCCCCGTGTACCCCGAAAGTGCATTTCTTGGGGTTCAACCTTAAATCAAAATGCTTCATATTGGAGAATACCTCGGTTAGGTCGTCGACGTGGAGCTCGGCCTCGGCACTCTTGACTATGATGTCGTCCACGTACGCCTCCATGTTGCGGCCGAGGACCTGCTTGAAGACCTTGGCCACCATCTGTGTGTATGTGGCCCCGGAGTTCTTGAGCCCAAAGGCCATGACTTGGTAGCAGAAAACCCCTTCAGGGGTTATGAAGGTCGTCTTCTCTTCGTCATCTTCATGTATGAAGATTTGGTGGTACCCTCAGAAGGTGTCTAGGAAGCTCATCAGGGCACAACCCATCGTCTCGTCCACTAGCTGGTCGATGTTTGGTAGTGGGAAAAGGGTCTATGGGGCAAGCCTGGTTGAGGTTGGTGTAGTCCACGCACATCCTCCAGGTAGGCAGCTTGGGGGCGAGGACCACGTTGGCAAGTCACTTAGGGTATAGGACCTCCCATATGTGCCTATTTAAAAGAGGGTGTTGACTTCCTTCCTCACGAACTCCCTCCTCTTTGCGAAGAGGTACCTCTTACGCTGTTGCACCGGCTTGATTGCAGGGTCCACGGCTAGCCTGTGGGTGATAACATCCCGGTTGAGGCCCGGCATGTCCTCGGGTTCCCATGCCAACACCTCTTTGCAGGCCCTAATAGCGTCGATGATGCGAGCCTGGAGCTCAGTGGGAGCCCGGTTCCCACCTTCACCACGCGATCGGGGCGGCTAAGGTCGAGGACGACCTCATCGGTTTCCACTGCGGGCTCCTTTAGCACCTTCTCAGCTATGGTGTGTACATGGAGGTCCAGCTTGCCTATTTGTCAACATGCCCGAAGGTAGCAGCTCTGGTTGATTCTTTGGTCTCCTCGGGCGACCCCGATTCCTATTGGTGTTGGAAACTTGAGGCATATGTGTTCCATGGAAATCACACGCCTAAGGTCCTGCGGGAGGGTTGGTTTGCCCCGAGCCCGTTTTTAATATATCCATCATACATGTTGTTTATAAATCAAAACTAGGTCAATTTTTGTTCTATTAGTGATTGGGTGATAACGAAATTAAAAGTACGCGATAACGAATTAAACAATTTTTATTTTTTTTAGAAAAAAAATAGAAGTATCCCAATTCACCTAAACTAACTCATAAAATGCACTAATTAATCAATTAGTTTTTATAACATGTAAATTTTATAGAACTAACATTTAATAATTTTTTTGAAGTTTTTTTTTCTTTTCATTATTGATGTATACTAAAACAACCACGATATATAGCAAGGTAATTTGTACATGAATTAGATCAAAATAAGTTGATAAACTCTACTGTATATAAACAATTTCTAGTACATAAACCATCGAGAATCCAGTATGAAGCAAATTAATAAGTGTCGAATTAATAACTTTAAATTTAACAACAACAATAATAATATTTAGTACCATTCAAGTTATTATTATTATTCCTAAACTTCACCCCTGTGAATAACTGGATGAGTTGCCTATGCGGGCAAAGTCCACTAGACGAAGTCCAACTAACCCACTAATTACGTTGGAGCAAATTATACTAAAGACCAATGTCCATCTTAAATTGTGAACTCTAGTCCAAAATGACATTCAGATTATGTCCCACTAATTACGTTGGAGCAAATTATACTAGGGACCAGTGTCCATCTTAAATTGTGAATTCTGGTCCAAAATGACATTCAGATTATGTGTCTGCTATTAATAGATTATATGTTTGTAAATAAGCTAAAGGTAAATAAAATATTAATTACCGAAAAATAGTATACATTTGGCATAATATATACTGGCCTTTAATTTATTTACTAACACATAATTTGTTAACTAATTAAAAATACATAATAGGTTAATTACATAAATTTTGTATCAGGATTACATAAAGTGGACCTTGCTCTTTGGTATGAAAATTGTTATGTTGGAGGGGACACCAATCAATACAATCTAACCCGCAATCTACTCCAACAATCCAGCATGAAGACTACTTCAAACCATCTGCGAAGTTTATTTTATTTTTTTTTTATTTTTTTTTTCATTTTCTTTTTGAAAGGAAGAAGCTAAAACGTGCGGAAGAAGTTAAACCCATTGTATATCATTGCATATGCTTGACTTCATGAAAAGTAAGTTGTTGAGTGTTCATAAATGAATAAAGATTTTAACTAATAATCAAATAAAAAATTCAATAGATAATGGCATGTAAAGTGTTAAATGTTAGAGAGTAAGTTTTTTAATAATATTGACTTTATTACAATGTAGTATCTCTCTATACATACTTTCTTACAAAGGGTCAATGCCCCACTGAATTTGAACATGTGACCTCCCATATGGATGAGCCACAATTATGTCAATTTAATGAATTTAAAGCTAAAAATGGATGATATAGTGTTCCATTTCACTTTATTTCAGTCCTTTTTTTCCACGTAAATGTTCTATTTAATTCGCAGTCTATAAACGTGTTCACCAATCTAAACATAATAAGAAAAATTTTTGACGTTTGCATTTTTGCATCATATATGTAACTAATGACATAAGAAGCAACCTATCATTTTCTTATTTAAGAAAGCGAAGGTTAGAGTTAGAGTACAAGCACTAACATCGATTCTATAGATATGCTCTTTAAATTACCTCATCAAATGGGGAAATCTTTATTGTGGGTTGTGATTTTGATGATTGCAGTGAACGCTTGGGGCTCTTCAGGGTGTTTGGAAGAAGAGAGGACTGCACTGTTACAAGTGAAAGCCCATATGAAATTTTACACACATGGAAAGTCTCTAACTTCATGGGTAAATGATACTAGAAGCGATTGCTGTAAATGGTACATGGTGACATGTAACAATATCACAAAGAGAGTGATTAATCTCGATCTTTCGTGGATAGTGGATGGAAGTGGTGGGGATTGGTATATCAATGCGTCAGTGTTTCTCCCATTCAAACAACTCAATGTTCTAGACTTGATAGGGAATCAATTGGCAGGTGTAGTTGAAAATGGAGGTTAGCTCTCTTATTCAAAATTTATTTATTTATGTTTTTATTATAATGGAGTACTGTTTTCAATTTTGTAGCACCAATTTAAAATTTTAAACTATAAAGTGAAAATGTACGTGTAGTAGATTGGAAAACTTAAATTAAATGAATTTATATATCTCTCCATGTATATCTATTTATTGATATTAATTTGATGGCATGTTATCAGGTTTTGATAAGCTATCAAAGCTTCGCAATTTGGAAATGATTGAACTAAGCAGTAATCGGTTGAACCGTAGTATTTTGTCTTCTCTCAGTCATCTTTCATCTCTCAAGAATCTCAGTTTAGATTCAAACCCATTGAATTCACCTCCTAATAGTTCAGGTATGATTATATAATGAGTCCAATATATTGGCCTATGATGACAAATAATGAATTCAATATCCATTTCATGTTGTATCATTTACATGCACAATTTCTTATTCCTTGATCCAATGCACAATATATATATAGGTCATGAAAGGCTCTTGGGATTAAGCAATCTAGAGTTCCTTATCATGAAAACAGTAGATCTGGAAGATACAAACGTCTTATCGGTCTTGAGTAAATTAACTAATCTCTTATAATATTCTTTATATTTATGTTGGTGTATTTCTATTTCTCTCTCTCTCTCTTTATATATATAACATTGTCTCTGAGTAAAAAAAAAAAAAAAAATATTATTGAGTGAATTGAGTTTTGTGATAAATTCACATATTCTTCCTTACATTGTCGTGACAGATCTAAAAGACTTCATCAATCTGAAGGTGCTAGACATAGACCACAATAACTACAAAAGCTTTGGACCATTTAACGGTATTGAATACATAAGACATAAATACATATTCTTGATTGAATACTTCTTTAGCTTATATGTATGTGAGTTATTAACTATGAATTACAAATTACCGATTTAACTTTTGGTACAGAAGGAGAAGAACCTAAGAAATTGGAGAGCTTGTATTTACAATCTAACAGATTTAATAACAGCATATTCCAGTCGCTTAAAGGGCTTCCTTCACTCAAGTTTCTGGATCTGAGTATGAATGACTTTCACGGACCACTACCCATACAAGGTGTAGCCCATATGTAACAACATTGTTTCATTCCATATATATATATATATATATATATATATATATATATATATATATATATATATATATATATATATATATATATATATATGTCAGCTCAAATGCGGCCATGCCTTAAAGTATGGTTAGTGCGGCTACACCATTAGATATATATGTAAAAATGCACCAATCGTATTAGGAAAACGCACAAAAATGAAATGCATAAATGCACCACAAAACGCATCACACACCCAAAAAATGCACCGCACCTCCAACACCTAATTGTGCATTTCCGAACACTTTGTGGTGCATTTATGCATATCTAATGGTGCGTTTTGGGGTGATTCGTACCTAATGCCCTAATGGTATATATGTTTTTTGGTGCATTGTTGCATTTTTTTGTTGTGCCTTTTCTAACACTATTGTTGCGTGTTTGCATACCTAATGATGCAGCCGCACTGACCGCACATTAAGGCCTGGCCACACTGAAACTTCCCTATATGTGTGTGTGTTAACATATTATATGCATTTAATTTATTTACAAGCACATCTTTAAACATAATATGTTAACTATAAGCATATAATCTAAATATCATTTTGGACTAGGGTTCACCTCGTCCATGGTATAATTTATCTAATTTCTTTGACAAACTAAAATGTGAATAATCTTTTAACATTTTCTACAGACATAAATGCATTGAGCAGTTTGGAGGTCTTAGATTTGAGTCTAAACACTATCGAGGGCTTCGAGACACCTATAAGTATTTCAGGTCCATTAATTTTATGTAATTAATTATTAATTAATTAACCTTTTCATAATATATATCTTTAACTTAATCTTTTACTTTTTGTAATGCTGAATTAGGAGTATCAGGCAGGATTACAAACAACAGACATCTCCAATTGCGTTTAAATTCCATATTTTGTAACATGACTAAGTTATTACAGTCTTTGGCAGCGTTCCAAGCTGTTAAGAGCCTTGAATTACTGGGTAACAACATTACAACCATTAATGAAATTCATGGTGAGGAAAATGAAAGATCTGGACTCATCTGACTTATGTTATGGTCACAAATTTTATTTAATTTTCTCTAATATAATTATCTTTTATGTGTATGTGGCATTTAAGCATTGAGGAATCTGAGCAATCTAGAAGACTTGTTTCTTGGATCCTATTTCTTGCCAAATAATTTGCTGCATAAAGATTTCCTTCAAAGCATTGGCCCAATGAATTCACTCAAAGTATTATCAGTGCGTCATATGCAATTTGGAGGAACTTTACCTAACAAAGGTAAGAATAATTTTTATCTGATTAGCATTCATGCGTTGAGGCAGGACTTGACCCTTTACCAACTTCCTTTACCAGCTTCCTTTACTAACTTCCGTCCAACAACTCCCTATCTCAACACCTGCTAACTCAAACCTAGCTCTGATACCATTTATTGGGATTAAGTCCTTAATTATCATTACGCCAAAGTTATAGCTCATAGTAAATGCGCAACTTTATTTCTTTATATACTGTCACATTTTCGAAAGGCAGTGTGCTGGACTTGACCCTTCATCGGTCTCCGTCCAACAATATCCCTAGCCACCAATTCCTAGCCTCCTAGACTTGCCCTTCACAGGCCACCGCCTAATTAATTGTAATCACACACTCCTTAATAACTAAATAACAACATGTCGTCTGATTTCTATATATGACTACAGGAGGTTGGTGTGAACTAAGGAACCTCAAAGAGCTCCGTTTAAGTGGAAATCAATTGGAGGGAATACTTCCGCTATGTTTGAGAAATTTAACATCTCTTGGATTGGTTGATCTCTCTCAAAACATGCTTATTGGAAACATTGCTTCATCCCCACTTTCAACACTAACATCTATTGAATATCTTTCAATTTCACATAACTCCATTGAAGTCCCAATCTCATTCAGATCTTTTGCTAACCATTCCAAACTTAGGTTCATACTTGCTGACGAAAATTATGCCATTTCTGAAACTGATGAGTTACAAAGTGTAGTCCCTAAGTTCCAGCTAGAAGTATTTTCCATGTCAAATTGCATCAACATTCTAATGTTGCCAAAATTCCTTCACTACCAACATGACTTGAAGGTTCTTAGAATCTCTAAAATCATTTTGGAGGCAGAATTTCCCAATTGGTTGCTACATAACAACACAAAACTTCAAGAGATTTCTATGAACTCCAATAATTTCACAGGAGCTCTTAAGTTTGCATTGCATCTTCCAAATCCTGACCTTCAGATACTTGATTTCTCTAACAACAAGTTGAGTGGAGAAATTCCTTACAATATCAGTTCAGCCTTTCCAAATATTGTGGCACTAAACCTCTCCTACAACTTGTTTACGGGCCAAATACCTTCCTCTCTTGGCAATATGAAATTTTTAAAGTTTCTTGACTTGTCAAACAATTCTTTCACCGGGGAAATTCCAAAGGAGTTGCTCATTGGTTGTACCTCGTTAATGGTTCTTCAACTATCAAATAATAATCTGGAAGGTGAAATAGTCCAAGAGTTTGCGTACTTAACTTTATTATGGCTCTTGCATCTTGATGGTAACAATTTCACAGGCACCATATCAGAGAGCATTTCTAATATTCCTTTGGTGTCTTTGGATATGAGTGACAACAAATTTTCTGGAAAAATTCCAAGATGGTTGGGTTATATAGAGAATTTGGAACAACTCACTTTGTCCAAGAATCACCTTCAAGGTTATATCCCTATAGAGCTTTGTTACCTAGGACGACTCAGTTTTATAGACTTGTCAGAGAACAATTTAACAGGGTCTATACCATCTTGCCTCAATCCATACAACATAATATATGTTGGTCTAAGTAAAAATCATTTGGGAGGTCAACTGACAAGTGCCTTTATTAATAGTACTACCTTGGCGATGCTTGATCTTAGTCACAATGATTTTGTTGGAAGAATTCCAGAATGGATAGGCAGCATCTCCAAATTGAGCATTCTTCTCCTCAAGGGAAATAAATTTGAAGGCAAGATTCCAATTCAAGTATGCCAACTTATGAGACTGAGGGTATTGGATTTATCCAATAATCAATTAACTAGTAATATCCCTGGTTGCCTGGGAAAGATAAGTCTAGAGGTGACTGATGAAAGATCCATGGTTTTCAATAACTTAGAGTTCCCTCTCTATACTGGGCCTACAACGACATATATTATCAGTTCTGGTTCAACAAGTGAATTCCAGATTGACTTGCCAGTAAATGTTGCTAATCCAGTTGTTGAGTTTACAACAAAGGGAAATTCATATGAGTATGAAGGTAGTATCCTCAAATATATGTCTGGAATTGATCTCTCTGCTAATAGGTTAAGTGGTGAAATTTCATATGAGTTGGGAAATTTGACTGAGATACGTGCATTGAACTTGTCGCATAACAATCTTAGTGGCACGATTCCAGAAGCGTTCTCAAAGTTACATAATATTGAGAGTCTTGATCTTTCTCACAACAAGTTAGGCGGGAAAATTCCTGACACATTGCTTAACCTCAACACCTTGGAGATATTTAATGTTGCATACAACAACTTATCAGGTGCGATACCAGAACCAAAAGCTCAATTTGCAACATTCAGTGAAGACAGTTACATGGGCAATCCTTATCTTTGTGGGCCGCCATTGCACACTAGTTGCAATAGTGCCGACTCACCATCATCTCCATTGCCATATGACTCGGAAGGTGAGAATGAAGAAAGTAATGGTGTAGATTTAGAGGTTTTCTACATCAGCTTTGGTGTGTCTTATGCTGTTTTTTTGTTAGGAATAGTCTTGGTGTTATATATAAATCCTTATTGGAGAAACACATGGTTTGAACTGATAGAGTACCATTTATATAAGTGGTTTAATTTGGGATAGGCAAAAACTAAATAATCTTAGACCTGCATTTCAATTTGCTCAACTCTTTTTGAAATTTAGCTTTTATTGTCATAGCTGATCATATGTACTTTGAATTATTGTAATGCAAAATATTGCACTGTACTGCAGGTTTACTAGAGGTTAGTTGATAATTGGGACAAAACTATATATCTTGTATTTGAACTAATAAATTCTATATCCCATTAGTACCTACATGAGAATTATACTCATAATATATTTTAGTTCAGAGGATCTTTATCTTAGTTAAGTTAGTGAGATTTTAATTTTTATTAACTAACATAACTTTATCATATAAAGATAACACAAACAAAAAATGTTCAAAATTTTCATACGACTGTAACATTTGTGTCTACTTTTTGAAGATCTTCCTCATGCAAGGACCTATAACATATTTTGAGGTTATAGAAGATCTTCCTATGCAAGGACTTATAACATATTTTGAGGTATACATAACCGTATCGGGTAAGATTGACACCAATACTTATTGACACCATATAAAAAAAAATCTTATAATTGTAATTTGATATTTATTACTTATGAACGATTAAAAAATGCGAACACTTCAATGAGGCCCTTCTGGCCAAATTAGCTTGGCAAATGAGTTCTAAGTCCGACAAATTATGGGTGAAGGTTACTAATGTTAAATATGTCAAAGGCGTGGATTTCTTCTCGGCACCGAGGTCTACAACCTAGATGCTATGTATTGAGTTCTTCGTGAGCTCTAGGTTGTCCAAGATGAAGGATGTCATTCATCAGTCAACAGTAAATGGCACGGAGGACACCATTGTCCAAGCTGACATTAGAGCCCATTTCAACTTTCCAGTCAGGGAGGAAGAGAAGCCTGACTATTCCGGCCACCCCAACAACCATGACGAGTTGTGGAAGGCAACCCGTGCAATAGACTGGCGAAATACATAATAAGTAAACGTGCAAAAGTGATCGCTTACTGATTTGGCCAACTACTCCACTAAAATCTCAAAAATCAAGTACGAATAAATAAGGTCCAAGGTAAATAAATTGGATAAAAGGACATCTAAACGCGGGAAAAAAATATGTAACGAAATGAAAAAGAATTTATTTTGTTTAATAGCATTCTATGGGCGACCCGTGATGGGCAAACCGTGACTGAGCAAATGACCGCAGACATGTGGGCCCCACAACCGGAATAGTTTCACCTCTGGCGTCTAAACATTAGTCTTACTACTACTGTGACACCACAGAAATTTATCCCTTTAACCCAAATTAATTATTTAATTAATTCCTAATTAGCCTTACAATTCTTCTTATAATTATCCTTGAATCTAGTTAGGGGATCTAGTTTGATCCAAATCCCTTAACCTTTTAATATGGTCAATGGGTTGGACCTTTATCTTATAACTCTTGGGCCCTAACCTTTATTTGAATGAAACCTTTCTAGCTCTTTTTCAATCGTTATGCGTTGGACCCGTGTCCAGCATGCATGCTGGACACGGGTAACAGTGCCGTTAGGCACTGTTATCTCCTCTTTTTTTAAAAAAAAAAAATTCAGACCGCTTCGTTATAGAAGTATATGTTCATAATTTTATTACTATATGTTAATAACTGTACATTCATAACTCCATAACTGTACGTTCATAACTCTATAACTGTACATTCATAACTCCATAACTGTACATTCATAACTCCATAACTGTACATTCATAACTCCATAATTGTACATTCATAATTTTCGAAGCTCTATGTTCACAATTTTAGAGCTCTATGTTCATAATTTTATCACTATATGTTCATAATTGTAAGTTCATAATGTCAGAGCTCTTTGTTCATAATTCGATCAATAACTGTACATTCATAATTCCATAACTGTAGATTCATAATCTCATAACTGTAGATTCATAACTCCATAACTGTAGATTCATAACTCCATAATTGTACATTCATAACTCCATAACTGTACATTTTCATAATCTTCGAAGCTCTATATTCACAAATTTAAAGCTCCATGGTCATAATTTTATCACTATATGTTCATAATTGTAAGTTCATAATGTTAGAGCTCTGTGTTCATAATTTCATAATTGCATAACTGTACATTCATAATGGCATAACTGTACATTCATAACGGCATAACTGTACATTCATAATCTAAAAAAATAATAATAATAATAACGCCGTTAACGGCAAAACGCGAGCGATTTTTTTTTTTTTTTTTTAACTAAATGACGCGTTTTTTTTTTTAAAAAACGACGTCGTTTTGGGCCCGTGTCCACAATTCATTGTAGACACGGGTCCAGGGCATAATTTGCCGCTCTTTTTAATAATAATGAAGAGGCCCACTTGTAACATTTCAGAATTTTCTAACTAGAAACCCAAATGTAACCTAGACACACTACCCTTACACTTAGCTAAAACACCTTCCACATTTCAGCCACACTCCCAACTTATCTCCACACCATTCCCCTCATTCTACCCTACCCAAAGGTGTTCTTCATTTCCTCTACCTAGAAGATCAACAAGATTGCACCTTTATCCATCACTAAACCTAGGAGGGGTAAGTATTAGGTGTTGATAGTCTTGTTTCTTGGTTTTTCATCTTCTTCATCTAAGGCTCTTCTTATGTTTATTGGGTTTGGGGTTATTATTGAAGAGCTCATTGAGGAGGATTTGCAAGGGTGATCTAGGAGGGCTTCGGAAGGATTTGGATAAGCTAAGAGGTAATCTTATGTCTAACAAAACTTATTTTCCTTGCTATTATGATTTATTGATGTTCTTGAGTGGTGATATGCATATTCTTGTGATTATATATGCTATTGTAGAGCTTGTATCTAGGATTGTTTGATGCTATTTGTTGAGTTATTCCTTATATTCAAGTCCCTTTTGTTGTTGATGTGAGTATTGAGGTGTTTGGACTTGGATTTGTGCATTCTTGGAATTTTTCCCGAAGTGAGACTTCTTCTACAGATTCGGTACCAGCGGGTACCTACCTGCCAGTACCAACCGTGTAACACCCCCCCCCCCCAAAACATGCTATATAAAAAGCCTTAACACATGCAGATATCACAACAAAACACTAGCACAGCGGAAGATAAAAGGTAATTGGATAAAAGTAAATCCAAAACAGGGGTGTTATGCCACGTTTACCAACAATGATAAACGCTACGGCCAAATCTACATGGTATACAACTATCCCAAACTCATAAGTCTATCACTACATCGGCTCACAGGCCGTAAAACCAACAAAAGGTACTATACTATCGGGCACTAGACTCCGCTCTCGGCTAGACATCACTTGAAAGATCACAAATAAACATGGGACGACGCCCGGTCAGCGAATAATGCTGGTAACCCACCAATACATGTGAAATAACATACATAGGTAAGATATAAGTTGTAAAACCATTTTCGAAACGGAATACATATATATAAGTGTAAAACCAAGAGTCAAAGCCAACATAAGACTCAACACTCTCAACAAACAACACGGGAACACATCCCAAGACCACAAGAACAGCACGACTCACAAAAGAGTTAAGGCATGATCTATCATCACTCAATAGATCAAAACCCGACAAGTACAACGCAAAAGAATAAGACTTACACAACCGGCAACACATGCCTCTGTGACTACACACGTCACAAGAGAAGAACACACAACACCGGCTACAATAGCCCTCGTGACATCACCCATCACGAGTTGATATGCCTGCCTTATGCCCGGTTCCAACCTTATGGCTACCCCCAACCTTGTTTCTTCTTTCCAACCATTACCTCCAGGACCCATGTACTTCTTAGTCCAACCTTTTCCCTTCGGGACCGTCGTCCCCCACCAACGACCACCAATGAGACCACCAATTTCATAGTACACAAGGTACCGTACACACACACGGCAACACATGCCACCCAAGAATCACGTGGACCCATCACTCAGGCCACAACTCCATAATCACGTCACGGCCACCACGAGGACCGCTGCAATACCTTGGTGACTAGTGTCCCGTACCACTAATCGTGCAATCCAGGTAAAGCCACACACGCATCACACTTTAACATGAATCAATCAACGGATTACAACGAAGATATGAAACATACTCAATCAAGGAATGGGTCACAGCCCACAACAACAACGATGAATAACACAAGTTATCATCAACCAATCGGAAGGTACAAACAACACACACGCTAGCATTTAAACACCGAACTAGCATGCTTAACAAACGGGTAAACCAAACGTAGTTCCGAAGAACACACAAGACTCACCACGGTTCAACGAAACACAATGTTGAACACTTAGCACGATTCAAGACACCAAATCCTACATGGATACCAACCATATAGTTCTAGACATACGAAACATCAAGAAGACACTCAAATAGTTCCACAAAAGAACATCGGGAAGTCAAAAGAGCAAATACCGAGTCAAAGGAATCACGGGGAACAAATCCCATCACAACACCGAAGTGTTCCCCGCGGGTGGACCGACGGGTAGGCTCCCACCTGTGGTTCCGCCCGCGGGTACACTACCCACCGGCCTACGTTCCCCGCGGGTGAGCGGCGGGTTGGAGCTCTACCCGTCGTTCCGCCCGCGGGTAAATATACCTGTACAAATAATCCCTTCGGGGATTTTCTTCTCCAAACTCAAATTCAAGTCCAAAACATGCCAAATCTCACCAAATACAACAAAATGACTTGAATCAAAGGAAATGCCAAGCAATGGCACACAAGAACCCTAAACACAAGCTCTAGATATGCATTTTCACAAGATCATGCATAAACACTCACATTTCATAACAAAACACATGTAGAATTCAAGAAATCACATATAGGTAAGCAAAATAGATTTTGTAGAGCATGGGTTACCTCTTGTAGACTAAAAGACTTCACTTCACACCTCAACAAACTCCTTACAAGGCTCACTTTCCAAACCCACTTCAAGGACAAACCAAAAGATCATAAAGATCCTACCTTTAAGAAAAGACACCTAAGATGGAACCAAAAACACAAGATAGGCTTAGATCTTACCCTCCTAGATGCCCAAATAGGTGAAAGGTTGAATCTTGGAAGTAATTCTTGAAGTGTTGGCAAGGTCTCAACTTAGCTTGGAGGAAAAGCTACTCACCTTTCTAGAGAGAAGGTAGAGCTAAATTTTAGAAAGTGTAAGGGGTAGAATGAAGATGTCTACTAGGTTAGGTTACAATAC